GGACTGATTTTATCCGTTGTATTTCAAACCATGTACCTAGGAAATAGTAATAATAATAAAATATTTATTATCATCATAATTATCACAACATCACAATATGCATCCTGACTCTTTTAATTTGAAGAGCGAAAGGCATCTGCGCTTTATGACCTTCAACTATGGTTGGCTATGTTACAGCTACACCCTTTTTTACTTTTTCTTAGCTGGCAGAACAGTTGGCGGGTAAAATTAGAGAAAAACCCGCTAAAACTTAATTAATTTAGATAAATAAATAAATTTGTCTATGAAGAAATAAATATGTTTTGAACAAGCATGTATACCATCTTTTATTATTTTTTTATCATATTATTCTTAATTATACATGTAATCAACTAATAATACATGTAATTATACACGATTTGAAATGAAAAATTTGTGTCACAGGCGGGATTCGAACCCACGACCTTCGATACGCCGCTGCTCCAATCACTTGAGCTACCTTGACTTCGATCCCCTCCCTGCCACAAACGTATTTGAAGGTTGTGTGTTCGAATCCCGCTTGTGACACAAATTTTTCATTTTGAAAACATTGTGAGTAAATATTATATATGTACAAATTATTGATCACGAAATCGCTTTTATCTGTCCATGCTTCCATTGAATCAAGATGTCGTACTTTCTTATGGATCCTTTTTTTTTTGCTTGAGGCGAGCTTACAATAAAAATTTTAGAAGATGATAAAAAATGATAAAGGTGGGGAGAGTATGTGGTTTGATCTTTTTTAAAAGAAGGTTTCGGACTTTTCATGCTTTAGCCTGGTCCGTCTGCGAGATGTCACTAGACTTCAAAACTTGGTTCCTACTCACAGTTTATTGTTTTCAACGATCGATTCAAGCTTAAAGCTCATCATCAGGCTGTAAATCCTTCAACCTGATGATGAGCTTCAAACTTGGAATCCGGATCATACAAACAACAAAACTGTGAGTAAGAATAATATTTTAAAATAAGATTTAAAAAAAATTTGTATTCACCGTGTCGTAGAAGAAATTTCGGACTTTTCATGCTTTAGCCTGGTCCTTCTGCGAGATGTCACTAGACTTCAAAACTTGTTCCGCATTCTTTGAATTTTTTACATATTTGATTTGCATATAAACATTCATACAATAACATGGGTTTGAGAACCACATTATAAATAAGGCGCTTGTTGCATCCTTGATCCTTTGGGCAATAGTGAGAACAGAACTCTTGTAGCAAGGTTAGCATTGGTGATGCTGTCCGTTATGTGATGGCCAAAATGGCCTTCTCCAGAGTTAACCCTAAGTAGGTTACCTTTTCAGACCATGGGATGGCAGTCATTTATTTTAAATAGTTTCTCTTACAACATGCCACCTCATTCTGAACAGAATCGCTTCACTTTTGGTACGTTAATCATTATTGACCACCTTTGACAAAAACGACTAATTTGTTTTATTTCAATGTTCAGATTATTTGCGATAACATTATTCCCCGGGAGGAAGTTAACTGTCGAAAAAGAAATTGTCCCAAATCAATATATAAGGTGTTCGGCTACTCGTGTTGCACACTTTGCAGTAAATTCGACATTCAAAATGGAACCAAAAAGTCCTAATTAACTATGGTCCGAATCAAAGCAGTTTCAGAGTTATTCCCTTTTTTCTGAATTTTTAAGATTTCACGACTTTGCTTCACATAAACAATGATAGCTCCAAAACTGAAATGTTTTGGACAAATCCGTTGATACCATTGAAAACTACGTCAAATTTCGAATAAGATGTGATCATTACTAAACTTGTAAATATTGGTGAAATAAGCGTTTTAGTAGCCAGAACTTTGAAAAATAATTCTGTTTTCAATGTTAAAAACATACTTTGGTGGATTTACATTACTATTTCCAAATCTAGAGACCAGCAAATTTCAGAAAACGTACTCGATTTAATATATTTTTTAGTGGTATAATTTCTTTTTTAATTACTTTTATGAAAGATGAACAAATTGATGAAGGAAGGGAAAAAAGGTTTAATGAATTAATTCCAAATTTTTTTATTTTATTTCATCTTTTCACCTTACCAATCGTCAACCACGGTTTTTTCCTTTCCTTCATCACTTTCTTCGTATTTGAAAAAAATTAATAAAAAAGATATTAAATGGAGTATATTTCCTGAAATTTGCTGGTCTCTAGCTTTGGAAATAGTAGGTAAGAATCACCGTAGTAAGTTTTCAACGCTGAAAATTTTTTTTTTCAAAGTTCTGGCTACTAAAACGCTTATTTCACCAATGTTTACAAGTTTAATATTGATCACATCACAATTATTGGAAATTGAACGTAGTTTTCTATGGTATCAACAGATTTGTCCCAAAACTGTTAGTTTAAGAATTATCATTGTTTATGTGAAGGAAGATCGTGAAATTTTAAAAAATCAGAAAAAGGGGAATAACTCCGAAACTGTTAAGATTCCGACCGTAGTTAATTAGGACTTTTTGGTTCTATTTTGAATTTAGAATCTACTGGAAAAGTTGCAACACGATTAGCCAAACACTGTATCACAAAAACATTTATTTGTATTATTTACTTTATTTTATTTATCTTTTCCTATCTGTAATCTAGTTCTTTAACTGCCTATTTTTCGATCTCTAACCTTTCTTCATCAATGTTTTTTTGACTCTCCTTCTCTCATTGCAATCTATTCAATACCGTCGTCACCGAAAAAAATAAATTTTGATTAGAAAATATGGTGTAGGCGAAAGTTCGTTTTACCATTTTTAATGTTTATCCTGAATGAAGTTCCTTCCATTTTTGTTCTTGTATATTTCATACCCGTTCTCTGAAGATAAAATACGACAAGGTTATAACACATTTTATATCAGTATATTAGTTATTTTATGGAAAAACGGGAAAGGTCGATTTTTATTGTAATTACAGGTTGATCAAGGAGAAAAACTGAATTTTCAAACGGTATCGATAAAGATAAGCCTAATTTGCTTCTCCTCTGCCGATTTGCCAGCTTCTGGAGGCAGATACAGACGACAATTCCAAAGATAAAAGTTATACGGTTCGAAAACCCCTTTTGTTCAAATGTTTTTCGAGTGAACAATGACAGGGAGAAACACACGAAACCGAATTCTATTCAGAGCCTCCGAATAAAAACCGTCCGCCGGTATTTACGGGTAAATAAATGCACCGGGGAAAAACACACAAGCAGGGTAAAAACGATGCAGGTTTTAAAAGTTAATTAACTTCCCTCTCCGAGCCCGAGGGCGGTTCTGACGAATAATGGATTCATCGCGGGAAATTTTACGAGGAGCGCTTCGTAACCGGTGATGAAACGTTTTTTTAAATTTCTGACCCGAAATTAAACTTCTGCCTTCATTTTTCAAAGACGATAACACCATATTTAAACAGCTATGAATATTATTTTTTGCCATTTTTAATATAATAGCTTGCCAAAAAGGGGAATGAAATTAAAGGAAGAAGGTTTTAAATGAATACAGCATCCTCCCCATATTCTTACTAAATGGTGTGCAAAATAGAAGCATCCTAACACTAGGCTACATACCACAGACAAAAGTCGTCCAAGTTAGGGAAAAAGACCCTACACTACCCAAATCCTACAGACCAATCTTAACATTGTAATTACTAACAAGAAATGCTGGTAGATAGTATTAAATTGTCAGTGTTGACAGATAAACCACTTCAACACTTTAAACACGCGTACAGGGCAGGAGGATCCATAGAAACTGCTCTGTACCAGTAAACCAGGGACCCGATGGAAACACCACATACCAAAGATGTAGCAAAAATTTCCTCGACGTTGAAGGAGCATTTGATAATTCATCTCATGCACCCATTAAAGCTTGAGAAAAACACTTGAACATACGGTATTACGATGGGTATAGATAGATAGATAGATAGATAGATAGTTAGATAGATATATAGAGATAGATAGATAGATAGATAGATAGATAGATAGATAGATAGATAGATAGATAGATAGATAGATAGATAGATAGATAGATAGAGATA